TGCAAAAAAAGAGTATATGTTTGGATGTACGCATGTGTCACAATTTTTTTTTATTTTGGCTCAGAAAATGTATTTGGGTGGGAATTATTGTTAAAGTCAGTTTTCTTTTTCTGCAGGTGGGTTGGGGTTACTGGAAGTTGTGATATTGTTCAACACTTTGCATAAAGCCACATGGGTTATGACACTACGCGGATCAGCCCAGTGAAGCTCTTACATTAACCAGACGCATATGTCTATTTTGTGGTAACCCTTATGTGCCTCCACAGGATTCTAGACTCTCAGGAACCAGTGATCTCAGTCAGATTTTAATTGTACAACACTTTCCCCTCAGGTAACTAGCCAATCTGTACCAGCTGATCAGAACATGGAAGACAAGTACAAAACCCAGATGATATGAAGAAGTGCAACTACACAATGTTATCAAGTTGTGGCATTTTGAGGCCTGAGTTTTGGTGGGGGAGGAGAAGGAAGACAATTAGGAATATAAGACTTCTCTGATAAGAGTGGTTTGGTTAAGCTCTTTTTCAGCACAAACCAAGATATTATCACTTTTGTTACGGAGCCCCACATTGCTTCATCCCAATGACTAATGCTTCTCTACACTTTTGCTTAGCTTAATAGTCGGTTTTGAGTTATGCAAACAATGTGTCTGTGTCTAATTGGGAAATTTAATTGCCAGTGAACTCTTGAAAATGGCAAGGAAAGGAAATCTACTTTCATTTCATAATGGATTGTTGTGGGACATTAGAGGGGTATGAATACATGAAAGAATCTTGTTCACATTTGGAAGACCCTAAATACTTTGAGTTTGCCTGTACTCTAAGGGTGAGATCATCTACCTAGCCAGGCTTTTTTCTGGGGGAATGCACTGGAATGGAGTTCCAGAACCTCTTCAACAAAATTCTTTAAAAAATGTTTAAAAGTTCATGAGTTTTCAGTATACAGATTGAAAACTTCATTTCCCTTTGAAGAAGAAGAAGAAGAGCAAGAAGAGGAGGAAGAGGAGGAGGAGACTGGATTTATACCCTGCCCTTCATCCGAAGTCTCAGAGCAGCTTACAAACTCCTTTCCCTTCCCCTGCCCACAATAGACACCCTGAGAGGTAGGTGGGGCTGAGAGAACTCTTTCCAGAGCTGTCCTTCAGAGAACAGCTCTGACAGAACTATGGATTGCCGAAGGTCATCCAGCAGCTGCAAGTGGAGGACTGGGGAATCAACCCCGGTTCTCCCAGATTACTTTGAGTCCCCATGGGAGAGAAAAGTGATGTATAAATGAAGTGGAGGAGATTTTCTAATTACTTTTATGTTGGAAAAAATACAATGGAACCCTGGAGGACTCCTAACACCTCTATTTCACTTTGGAAAGAAGACCAGGAGAGTCTGAATTCCAGTATCCTAGTGAAATTTGAAGAAGGAGAATTTTAGATACATTCTTAAACCAAGCATATTAAAATTTGGCATATAATCTCTCTGTTGATAAATTGAAAAGTACAGTAGACGAACACATTTGTCAATAATACTCAGGTTTGACCTGACATCTTTTTTCGCGAGAAAAACAGTGGTGTTTGCACTGTGCTTGTATCAATGCATGTCTTTTCACAGCTAAGGTTTTCCCCCTCTTATTTAACTCGACAGATGAAGCTGTCCTCAGAGGTCTTTGAGATTCAAACCAGCATTGGAAGTGACAGCCCAGATAACATAGATAATCATACAGACCCTTGTGGGACAGCCCTGACTATTTCTTAATTGATATTTTCATGTTTCTGCAATTTTTTTCTTAATTATGTTTGCCAAGTCATACATGATATGCCCACTAATTTAAGTTTGCAAGCTAGAAAGCCATATTGAATTGGAATTTTCCTCATCCTTGGCTTTTAGAATCAGTGGTAGATTAATTCCTTGTCTTGAAAACTCTATTTCTAAGAGTGGGGTTGCATTGGAGGCATTAAATTATCTCTAGCCAAATATTATAGAGTGGGGGTATTTTTTATTTGTAAGAGTGGGGTTGCACTGGTGGCATTAAAGTGTCTCTAGCCAAATATTATAGAATTGTTTTAAAAAATTAACTGTATGAAATGTTTTATGAATGTTGTTATTCGCTCTGAGCCCTGTTGTACAGGGGAAGGAAGGCTATAAATTGATTGATTTAATGAATGAATGAATAAAAACACTGGAACAATATTTTTAAAAGGTGAGGATTCCTTTTAATTAGACATTGCAAAAAAGACAAATGATCATGGAAATAGTAGGTTCATGAGCACTTGTGAAGAGAATTAAAGATGGGCGAGATGGCGGGCCCCTTCAAGGTAGTGTCTCCATACTTCGAAGGCAGCCTTGATGGCCAGTAACTCCCTTTCCCAGATGATATAGTTCCTCTCAGCTGCCATCAGCTGGCGGGAGTAGTAGGCACAGGGCTGGAGAGGCTGAGCTGGGTCATCTCTTTGAGAGAGGACTGTGCCAAGAGTGATGCTAGAGGTGTCGGCCTCTACCATGAAAGGAAGTTCAGGATCTGGGTAGCGCAGGAGTGGCCCTGTCGCGAAGCAGGTTTTCAGAACAGAGAAGGCGTGGTTGGCCTCGGGGGTCCAGTGAAAAGGTTCTTTGGGCCAAAAAAAGCCAAGTCAAGGGGGTGGTTAATGAAGCGTAGGTGGGGACAAATCGCCGGTAATAATTGGAGAATCCGAGGAACCGTTGCACATCTTTTCAGTTGCGAGGAGTCTGCCAGGTCAGGATTGCTTCTACTTTCTTTGGGTCCGTGAGTATCCCTTGTGGGGATATAATGTGTCCAAGGAACTCAACAGAGTATAGATGGAAATCGCATTTCTCTAGTTTTGTGTTGAGACCATGGGCCCGAAGGCGCTGGAGGACTTGATGCACATGCTTGATGTGCTGGGCTGGGTCGTTAGAATAAATCAAAATGTTGTCCAAGTAAATTATCACAAAGTGGTCAAGCAGGTTTCGGAAGACATCATTCATGAGCCTCTGGAAGACTGTGGGTGCGTTAGTCAAGCCAAACGGCATTACCAAGTACTCGTACTGGCTGTAACGAGTGCCAAATGCCGTCTTCCATTAATCTCCCGGCCGGATACGTACCAGATTGTATGCATCTCGGAGGTCCAGTTTGGTATAGATTCGGACCCCCTTTAGGTGATCTAACAGTTTGGGGATCAGAGGCAGCAGATACCAGTCCCATATAGTGATCTTGTTAAGGGCCCGATAGTCATTACAGAGCTGAAGCTCACTGCTTTTCTTTTTGACAAAGAGGACCGGGGCTGACAAAAGAGACATGGAGGGCCGGATGAATCATCTTGCCAGGTTCTTCTCCAAAAAATCCCGTAAAGCTGCCAGTTCAGGTTCTGCCATGGGATACAGACACCCCACTGGTACGGGTGCCTCGGCTACCAGATCAATGGCACAATCATAGGGCAGATGAGGAGGAAGTCGATCAGCTCCTCTTTCCTCGAAAACATCAGCATAGTCCCGGTATGGTTGCGGGAGTCGAGGGCCGTTGCCTGGAGCAGTGGTGGCCAGGGTGATAACTGGGTCCCAGAACTGCAGTTCTTGTCAAGCCCAGTTCACCATGGGGTTGTGGGTCATTAACCACGATAATTTGAGCGATGTCAAATCATAGTTGCTCCTGGTGTTGTTGAGGGTGAGGGTGAGGAGACAGGTCTCCTGAGTCATGGGACCCAAGCAAAGGAGATGACCATTGATGGCCTCCACCAGGATTGGCGTGTCTTTGGGCTGTACAGGGATCTGGTGCTGTTTGACAAAGGTGGTGTTGATGAAGCAGTGAGCAGCCCCAGAGTCTAGCATGGTGTAGACAAACATCCATCATTCATCAGGCAACTGGATTTTAATGGGTACCAGGAATGGTCTGTGGTTAGTAATCATGAGTTCAGAGGACCCAGCTAAGTGCTCCAGCTAGGTGTGGGGCTAGTCTTTTACTGGCAGCAGCGTCGTTGTCATCTCTGACTGAGGGTGTTTAGCAGGGCAGCTGGTGGAGAAATGCCACACCCCTCCACAGTACAAAGATTTTTTGCTTGGCAGAGGGACTTTTCTTCTGGGGTCAGGCGTGGCCGGGTGGCTCCCAGCTGCATGGGCTCACCTTCGTCTCCGCCAGTACCTGGGGTTTCTGGGACTGGCCAGGATACCGAATGGCGTGTTGCTTGCATGACATTGGTGTTGTTCCGGGCCTGCCGTCGGCTCTCCAGGCGGCCATCAATACAAAGGCACAAAGTAATTAAGTCCTGCAGTGTGTGTGGCCTGTCAACCCGAGTGAGCTCATCCAGGACGTCGTCAGCCAGCCCTTCTGAGTACTGGTCCATTAAGGCTGCTTCGTTCCAGGTCAGGTCCTGAGCCAGGAGTTTTAATTCAGTAGAGTACACAGTGACAGAGTGCTTGCTTTGTTTCAGAGTGCGGATTTTCCAGTTTGCTGCTGCTGCTGCTTGTTGTGGGTTTGCATAGGCTGTGGACAGATGGGTGAGGAACCCCTGAGAATGGGAAAGCAGTGGCGAAGGAGCCACTAACAACAGAGTGGCCCATTTAGCTGCCTGCCCTTTTAAGAGGCTGATTATGAAACACACCTTGGTTTTGTCGGTGGGGAAATCCTGGGCACGTAATTCGATATACAGTTTACATTGTGCCAGAAATGCAGGAAACTCCTCCACATTACCACCAAACTTTTCAGGAGGGGTTACCGGGCATCTTGGTGGTGGGACGACGGCAGTGGTGGCGGCTTGCTGCTGTAGCTGCTGTTGTTGTTGCAGGTGAGCAACCACTTGCGTGAGCTGCTGCACCTGGTTCATGAGGTCTGCGAGCTGCAGAGTGCCTCCGCTTGCTTCTCCATCCATCCTGTGGAGTGAGCATGTGATGGTGCCAGCAATCTTTCATGGGCTGGAGTGCAGGCAGAGCGAGAGAGAGATAGTCCAGGTCCAGTCCAGGGTCAAAGCCAAGAGGTAGCAAAACAGGAGCTGAAATAACAGAGTCCAAAGCACAAAACGAATGCGTAGTCATCAAAGCCGGGGTCAAGGAGCCAAGAGTTCAGGGCACAAGATAGGAACTTGGAACACGGGTGAGGTGGGTGCAAAAGCATCTTCAAGCTGACTAGTTGCTGGCACAAGGACCCAGCAACGAGCAGGGAGCTAAATACCCCTCAAGGGCTGCTGTCAATTAGTGTTCAGCGCATGCATCCTGGCTTCTGCTAGAACTCAGGGCTGAGGGATTGCTTGCTGTGCTGGCACACCTCCCGCCACCGGGATCCTAAGTCCTGATGGAGCCGGCTCCGTAAACGTGCCACCTGTGGAGGTGAGTCGGGGGGCTGTCTGCTGTCTGCCGTTCTTCCTCAGCTGTTGCTGGGATGGATGGCAAGGATACACCAACGGGCTCTGAGGCTTCATCGGGGTCAGGTGTGGGTTCTGCTGGGGCCGGGAGCTCATCCTCAGCAGCACTCATGACAAATGGCTTGGAGCCATTTAAACCCCTGCTTTCTGCTCCCCACCACTTTTTGTGGTGAGCAGAAAGCAGGGGTTTATACTTTAAATGGCTCATGATTGATACGAACCAGTTCGGTTTGTGAACCAGCCTACTGCCATGAACCACAAGCCCAACCACAAAAAAAAAAAAAAGTGATTCGTGCCCTCTCCCCCATCACTTCATCACAGAGAAAGTGCTTCTCCAACCAAAAATTGAATAGGAATAAACTCTCAAAACTCATGTTACCATTCAAAGATAATGCCTTCCATAATCAATTCCCGGACCTCCCAGGATAGGTCGGCGCTCTAGCCGGGGGAAGGGGCCACACAGGTCCGTGGACCCCCCCAGGGGCTCGGCGAAGAGTCCCGGGCTAGGGAACTTCAAAGAGGCAGCCTCTTCAAGGGCGGAATGCCCAAGAATCGAGGCGCCTCTCTGTTCCAGTGGTTCCCCGGGCGGTGAGACCGTATGGTGCTAGCAACGCTGGCTGGGTCAAGTGAAGGAGATCCAGCGAGTGAAATGGTGCAGAAAACGAGGTCGGAAGACCAGCAATGAACGTGAGTCATGAAGCAAAGCGAATTTAAATCAAAGAAGCTCCCCAACCCTGGTAGTGAACGGAGAAGAGTCGAGCGGTGGGGGGGACGACTCCCACATGCACGAACTGTTTTAAATGCGAGAGGGGGGGAGCGGAAGAAAACGTATAGAGAACTGTCTAGGGACACTCACCTGAAGGACTTTAAACACCCAGGCTCATATTCAGAGACTTTGCAGAGTTTTGAAAAGTAAACAACCAGGCAAGATGGAAAGGAAGAAGGACAAAGATAGACTGTTGAGAGCAAAAGGACTAGAGAGTCCAAGGAACGGAAGTGGCCGGCGACACGGCGAAGGCTGTAACAGAGTGTATGCGCCCTCTGCTGGACCAGTTAAATATCTTCAAAGAACAGATGGCAAAGGTGACAGAAAGCATTACTGCAACCCAAACACAGTTGGGAGATATAATACAAGTCATGAAGCAGGATGCTGAAAAAATAAAGGAGGTGACTGCAAACACGAAAAAAGTAAAAAAGAAGGTGGAAAAGCTGGAAGAAAAGACAACCTCTTTGGAAGACCAGATGCTACAAGTACAAATGGATAAGGCCAACCTGGTTCTTCGCTTTCAGGGATTGCCAGAAAACCCGGGGGAGAATCTTAAAGAAATGATGTGTGAGCTGTTAGCCCCAGTGACAGAAATGAAACCAGAACTATTATTAAACAAAATGGATGTGGTCTTTAGATCATATTCAGGATATATAAAAAAGAATAACCTGCCTGGGGAAATTGTTATAAGATTATAGAAGAGGTACGTGAGAGATGCAATTTTGAAAGCGGTGTCTGGAGCCCCCTTGAAGGTGGGAGAAAGTGTTATCAGAATGCTTAAGGACATTCCATTTGAAGTGAGACAATGGAGGAAGAAATACAAGGAGTTGGTGCTTTTTCTTCAGACTAATCAAATTGGATATAAATGGTTGTTCCCAGAAGGAGTCACTTTCAAGATGAAAGATAAAAAAGAAAAGATTGACTCTGCCTTTAAAGCTAAAGAATTTTTAAAGACTCAGCTGGGAACAACAGAGGACGAACAAAAAGAAGAGGACAGCAAGTCTAGTGGCGAGCTGGACTCTGGTTCTTCCGGAGAGGACTCTCTGGATAGAAAGGGGGCGGCTGCCCCAAAAAGTCCTTACAAACTTTGGAAAAGACGCGGAAGAGAGAAATGAAGGCTGAAGGACTCTGAAATGGGCCTGAGAAGAAGATGACGAGAAATGGGTTGGGGGGGTTGGGGATAGACAGTGAAGTGGGGGGGAAAATGGAAAAGAAAAATATATTTTTAATGATTGACTCAGTTTGTTCAATGTTTAACAGAAGGGAAGTTTAAATGTAATTAAGCTATTGAAGATCTCCTCTCTTGGGGTTTTAGGTAGTTGTGGGTATCTTTTCTTTATCCTGTATATGTAGTCCCCTTTTCTGTTTTTCTGTAATAGTTTTTTGTAGTTTAAAAAAAAAAAAATCAAAAAAAACATTCTGGATTCCATAACCCACTATGAACATTCCACTCAAACTTTTCTCAGTGGTGAATCCACTATGTTTAGTTTGTTTCCCACATCAGTTCATGCTACATAAGGTTGCATTTGAATTTATGAATAATTTTGTATATATATGGAATAGGCTGATTTGTGCGATTCTTTTCCAGCCTGGAAAACTTAGTGTGTGGGGAAAATAGGTGTACTAGGGAAGAGTGTGTGTCTGTCTTTTACATGGACAGGCTTATTTATGGAGCATCTATGATATATTCATTGTATCATGGAGGAGGAGGTACTTGCTCCTCCTTGCAATGCAAAGTCTGCCATTTCCCATTAATAGCCTGAACCAGGCTACAGAAAGGCATCAAATTTATCGTTTCTAGAGGAACATTGCCCTAACCTGTTTAATCCTTGGATGAGAGTCCAACAAGGAAGTTCAGGATTGCTACACTGAGGCAGGCAATGGTAAACCACCTATGAATGTTTCTTGCCTTAAAAATCCAATGGGGTCTCTTTACGTCAGCTGCAACTTGATGTCACTATACAAACAAGAGGACTATTAGTTGATACTGATGGGACCATGGCATATATAGAAATCCATTATCTGTGTAACTCAGAAACCTTTTACCGTCTTCTAATTTACATGCATAAGGATTAGACCCAACCTAGTTGCTCTTACATTGTTAGAGGAATTAATGTCAAAATAGAGGATTACTTTGTCTGTGAATTTTCATGTTCTTGTAAAATGACCTGGTAAGTTTTTGAAGTTTGCTTTCAATGGAATGGAAGGACACAAAAATCCGATTTGAGCATTTAGGATTCCTTAAACAAGCAATAATTAAGAAATTGAAAAGGAATGGAAAACAAGATGGCTGGATAGAAAATGAATCACAAATTGCATTCCTGAATATATCTCCCAGACAGTAGAACTTATCATGTTTCTACCCTGGAGGCTTGCACAATACTTTAGATGAACAAGACAGGGGTGGAGAATAATAATTAGTAGTGGAGATGGGGTAAAGAATCGGGTAACCATGAAAATGTAAGTAAGATAAAGTTGAAGTGGTTTGGAAAAAACTTGCCTGAACAAGAATACTGGAATTGCCTTCCTGAGTGAGAGTAAAGATCCATGAAAATGAAATAGCAGCCCAGTAACACCCTAAAAACTAACAAAATTGATTCCATTTTGTTAGCCTTTCATTTTGCAGTAACGGAACTTCTGGGGGTTCCATCAAGTTAGGGATAAGTCAATATGACAATGTTCATTTATTTTTCAGTTTTGTCTGTTGTTGGGTTCATGTCACATCATTTTCATTGCTGTTGGTGATGGTTCTTTTGTACCACTCATATGTCACTTTATGCCCTTTATATGTTCTGTGCCACTCATGCAGTGAAATGAGAGTGAAACAAGAGATATAGTGATTCAAGGATCTTGGAAACTGAGGTTTGAATCCCTGCTCGGGCATGGAAGTTTGCTGGGTGAGCTTGGGCCTATCACATACTCTCAGCCTAACCTACCTCACTGGGTTGTTGTTGTGAAAATAAAATGGAAAAGAGGAGAATTTTGTAATCTATTTTGTTTCCCTATTGGGCATAAAAGTGGGGCATATACAAAGTATATAAATAAATAAATACTCCACAACAGTCAGTTTGATGTCTTCTAAAATCTTACAACACAGGTGGTACAGTATAGTAAAATGTTGACAAAAATCTGGCCGAGTGTTTTTACTGTAGATGTTGAGATTAGAGTTGCTGCCTCCTGGTGTGGGCGGGGGTACCCTGGTTTCCAGCATGCCTCCGCACTGCTGGTCAGATGGCCACTGGGGGGAATTACCCCACCCCCAAAAATAGGCAAGATGCCAGAAATAAATGTGATGTTCCTATGTCACCCGGAAGTGAAATAGGCACACCAGTGATATTGGGGGGGGGGGGTGACACTCTGGTTTTTGGGCAAAACTCTGTGGTTAGAAGCTAATTCTACCATTGAGGTTTTACCCACAAACCAGAGCATCACCCTGGCTATCCCCAACGTGCCTACATCACATGTCACATTTATTTCCGGCTTCTTCCCTCCTCGCTCCTGGTAAGTGCACCTCCATCCCCCGCCCTCTCGTCCGCCAGACCTGGGAACCTCAGTAGAAATGCTGAGGTTTGGTATTGTGACACTGGACAGCTTTAAAAGAGGATGGAATAGATTCATGGAGAATAGATTAATCACTGTCTACTAGCCAAGATAACAAAAGGGAACCTGCACATCTGAATACTAAGGGTAGGGGGCAACATCAGGAAAAAGGTTTGCCCTCTGAGCCCGGTTTGTTGGCTTCACATGGCAGGTGGTTGGCCACTGTGTGAAAAACAATGCTGGTCCAGACGTGATGTATCACTGTTCTGATCCAGCTGGATGTCTCATATTCTTATTCTAAAACAGCCATCTGTTTCCACTGTTATCTGGGAAGTACAGTCTGCTGGAGTTATGCTAAGAACTTTGGGGAAAAGTGAACAACATGTACTTCACAATGTCCATTCTGGTCCTTGAAACACTTGATAT